GTTAAGAGTCTCTTGTGATTTGTTTCCCTCTCTCCTCTTTTTCCCCCCTTTCCCATGTGTTCATCTGTTTTGTTTCTTAAATTCCACATATAAGTGAAATCATATGCTATTTATCTTTCTCTGACTGACTTATTTCCCTTAGCATAATACACCTATTTCCATCCACATCATTGCAAATGGCAAGATTTCATTCTTTTTGATGGCTGAGTAATATTCCATTGTATATATACCACACCTTCTTTATCCATTCATCAGTCAGTGGACATTTGGGCTCTCTCCATAGTTTGGCTATTGTTGATAATACTGCTATAAACATTGGGGTGCATATGTCCCTTCGAATCTGTATTTTTGTATCCTTTGGGTAAATACCTAATACTGCAATTGCTGGATCATAGGGTAGTTCTATTTTTAATTTTTTGAGGAACCTCCATACTGTTCTTCAGAATGGCCACACCAGTTTGCATTCCCACCAACAGTGCAAGAGGGTTCCCCTTTCTCATCCTCACAAGCACCTATTATTTCTTGTGTTGTTGATTCTAGCCATTCTGACAGATATGAGGTGGTATTTCATTGTGGTTTTGGTTTGTATTTCCCTGATGATGAGTGATGTTGAGCATCTTGTCATTTGTCTGTTAGCCATCTGGATGTCTTCTTTGGAAAAGTATCTATGTCTTCTGCCCATTTCTTAACTGGGTTATTTGTTTTTTGGGTGTTGAGTTTGGTAAGTTCCTTATAGATATTTGATACTAACCCTTTATCTGATATGTCATTTACAAATATCTTTTCCCATTCCATAGGCTGCCTTTTAGTTCTGTTGATTGTTTCCTTTGCTGTGCAGAGGCTTCTTATCTTGATGAAGTCCCAGTAGTTCATTTTTACTTTTGTTTCCCTTGACTCTGGCGACGTGTCTAGTAAGAAGTTGCTGTGGCCAAGGTCAAAGAGATTGCTGCCTGTGTTCTCCTCTAGGATTTTGATGGTTTCTGGTCTCACATTTAGGTCTTTCATTCATTTTGAATTTTGTGTGTGTGTATGGTGTAAGAAAGTGGTCCAATCTCATTCTGCATGTTGCTGTCCAGTTTCCTTTTTTTTTTTTGTTTTGATTTTATTTTAATGTTTATTTTTGAGAGAGAGACCGAGAGTGAACAGGGAAGGAGCAAAGAGAGAGGGAAACACAGAATCCGAACCAGGCTCCAGGCTCTGAGCTGTCAGCACAGAGCCAGACGCAGGGCTCAAACTCACAAACCTCAAGATCATGACCGGAGCGAAGTCAGATGCTTAACCAACTGAACCACCTAGGTGCCCCAACTGTCCAGTTTTCCTAACACCATTTGTTGAAGAGATTGTCTTTTTTCTATTGGATGATCTTTCCTGCTTCATCAAAGATTAATTGACCATCTAGTTGCGGGTTTATTTCTGGGTTCTCTATTCTGTTCTGTTGATGTGTGTGTCTGTTTTTTTTTCCAGTATCATACTGCCTTGATGATTACAGCTTTGTAATAACAGCTTGAAGTCCAGAATCCACGTGAGGGTGTTCATTCTAGGCTGGCCCAAACCACGTCAGGGTGAAGCCCCTTCCCCAGCAATGCTGCCCAGCAGATAATTACACGTCAGGAGCTGTTCCCTTCCTGAGGGCACAGGAAGAGCATGAGAGGGAGGGACTCACTTGGACCCTTGGAGATAAGCTGCTCCTCCCCCAGGGTGACACCCTGCTGGCTTTTTATTTTTAAGGGCAACTTTATTGAAATATAATTCACTTGCCATACAACTCACCCATTTATAGTGTACAATGCAGGGGGTTTTACTACAGTTTTGCGCCGTCACCAGTCAACCCCTGTTGACTTTTAACCCTGCTGCCAAATGCAAGGATTAATTAATTTAAAAAGAAGAGCTCATATGATGAAGGTAACCAAAAATGGAGTCATCCGGTGAGAACAGTCTATAGGAATCCATGTCGTGCTGGCGGTACCTTTTAGACCCTCGGCCCATGTACTTTCACCCCACCTGACTGAACCATGTGTCACCTGTTAGTCGCTATCCCAGGTCTGCGCAGGGGCGGCAGGACATCGGCAGCCTCCGGAGGCTGGACAATGGCCGTCGCTCACCGGCCTTTGCTCTCTCTCTGCAGGTGTTCCACTGTGTCCACTTTGAGTGTCCAGAGCAGCAGAGCAGCCAGAAGGAGGACAACAGTGAGGAGTCGGGGACGCCGCTCGACCCCCACGCCCTGCAGGCCCCCGGTGGCAGCTCACTGCCTTCCAGCCCAGGCTCCGTCTCCCGCTCTCCCAACCGGCAGCACCAGTAACCGGGGCACAGATGTGGAGTGATGTGGGTGGGCCCCAGGGGCAGCGGCAAGAACCGGTGTCCTCCCAGGAGGGATCTCTGTGGACTGCCCCTCTCCCCCTCCGGGGAGGAGCAGACCTGGCTGCAAAAACGGACACAGAACAGGCTTTCTCCCAAGGACAGAAAGGGGCTGCTTTGTTCTCCTCAATTTGTTCAAATCAGGCTGGTCTCAAGGGGGAGAAAATGGGTCTTCAATCTTCATCAAGCCCACCATTAACACCCTACCTCTCTAATCTAACCCGGGCAAAGGGGACAGGAGGAAGCGGTAGACAGGCCCGTGTCAGAATACAGCAATGGCCCGCCAGCACTCAAGCGGAGGAGAATATGTTAGGCCTTTATTACCTGGAGGCTCCCTGTAGGAAATGGGTTTCCGTAGAGCGTTTACTTTCATGGAACACATCGCCCTGGCAACTAAATGATTTTTTATTTCTTAGTTAGCATCCATTTGCTGAATCATAGGTGTTCCAGTTCTTCTTGAAATGCTCAAACAGCAAATCACTTGTTTTAATCCCTTTTGATGCTGTAATTTTCTTTCCTTGGTTTTGAACCGTTAAGCCTGGGGTGAAGCAGAGATACTGTGCACACGGCCTGTGCGAGGCTGAGACTCGGCTCATCACGGCACCCGGTCTGACCAGGAAAATCCTTTGAGGAAGTTCAAGAAAACACACAGCAAATCAGTGCGAGGACACTGGAGTTAATGGTCACTCGAGTTCCTGAGTGACTCACCTGTCATTCCTGAAATGTACCTCGCCTCTAAGCTTGGGAGGCTGACAAGGAACTAGTTCTTATGCCACCCGCTAATTTAATGTTCACACGTATGTAAATGTATATATATAAGTCTGTAGCGGCTTCCAGTTGGGTGGAACCCTCCCTCCAGTCACCACAGGTTAGCTGAGCCTGGGGGAGGGCAGCCCTCCTGCCCGTCGGTGTCTGGAACACAAAACTGGGCCTTTGCAGTTCGGGGGTTGCTGTGTTTCATCCCCAGACCACACGATTCAACTGGGGATTGGAAGGAAATCCGTTCTAAGAAGCTTTTCTCCTCATCCTCCTCGAGACCATCTTCTCTGACTGCCGTCGCTTCATCTGGCTCTGTCATGTCTCTCAGTAATTTTCAGTCTAGCACTAACTACCCCGTGGAACTTGATCAGACTGCCTTTTGATTTTCACTCATCTCCGGCGCTCACCCGAGGGCTCTGTCACACTCAACTCCACGGGAAGCTCGGTCAGGCTGGGCACCGTGGTCCTTTGGTCCCCCAGATGCACACCCAGGTCCTCTGCACACCCTGTGACCCCACTTGGAGGAAGATGGGCTTTCATGGGGGCTCTTCTCTGGTGTCTGAAAGATATCTGTTGTGGGCGTACACAGAACCACTGGCCCGACTAACTAAATGCTTTCCCCAGTATACCTTCGTTTTGAGTGATCTATTGACATGGGAACATGGGGTCATCAAACCGCATGATTAAACAGTTAAGTTAGGTGGGCTTTCTGTTTGAACGTTGGCGGGAAGGAGAAACCATGGGGCCAGCGTCCCTGCTCGTGCCACAGGGGGCTCCAGGTCCCCCTCTGCCCTCAGCCCACGCATTTGACCCCTTCCCCACTGTGTGGGGTGAACAGCACCCCTGAGGGGTGCCAGGCAGCTCGCGAGGGGAGGGAGGCTCCCGTAACAGATGGCAGTGCCTCCCGCTTGCCATGGGTGGCTGCCCTCTGTGACTTGGCTGCTGCCTTTGTCAGCATTCAGCACGTGGTTGCCAATTAGCCTGGAGAATTCCTGTCCACTCGGCACTTCCTTCAGCAGTGCAGTCCTGCCCAGCGAGAACAGAGGAGCCCGATAAGTCAGCAAGGGCTGAGTTCCGATGTTTGGAAAGTATCCATTCAGAGGGTTCCTTCTCAACTTTGAAGTCTCCTGTCCAGAGAGGAGTCCCTGGGCTCGGGGGCTGGCACTGCTGACCTGGGAAGAGGGGAGCGGGCTGGCGAGGACCTGGAAGGTTCCAACCCTCTACGTCCAGACCGTGCAGCCCCACTGCCCCACAAGGTAATGTTGCCATCCCAGGCACAGGTAACCAAGCTGGTCTGGCAGCTCACCGTCCCGTCCGAAAAGGCACAGACCATGAGGCTTTAGCACCAGACCCACATCTGGGCCTTGCCCAGCCAGCGGCTTCCTGTCTCCTCCTCTCTCCCACAGATTTCCATCGGTGTTCCCACCTTCCACACGTCGCTGTGAGGTCTTGAGAGAACGGACTTTGATCCAGTAAGGGAAGAAGGGGAAGATGAAGCCATGCCGATCACACATGACAGTGGGCAGGAGGGGTGGGGTGGTTCTGAAGGCATCTCTGCAAGCCATCAGCTGGCCACGCCGTCTCCTGGTGCCGACTGGAGGCCTTGCCTGCAGGGAAGCCTTCTCGGGACCCCAGGCAGACACAGACAGAGCTCAGAAGCTGCTCTGGTCTACCTCCCGTTACCAGGCCAGTGGGCTCCGTCTCCGTGATGGGCCTTCTGATCCGGGAGCAGGGAGGGGCTCCTTCTGCTGGCTGGGCCAGGGCCTTCTGGATGGGGCCTGCAGAGCCCGGTGGAGGTGTGTGGCACCAGACAGATGCCGGGTGAAGCACAGATCTCCGGGGAATGAGGGGTGAGTGGGCAGCCGAGAAGAGGTCCCCAGTTGACTGGCATTCAGGGCCCTGGCTGGCCCTGCGGAGGACTTCTCCCTGCAGCCAACTAGACCAAAATGGCCCGAAGCTTAAACAGACTAAGGGAGCTGAATGGGAGAGCAGATAAGACAGCCTGGCACGCAACTGGAAGGATTCCCAGATACCCACAGAGTCCTCAACCCAACAGGCGGTGGAGGCTAACTCCGCCGTGAAGTGTGAGGAGGGAAACGGCCCAGTGATGAGGGGGCCAGGGCCGATGAGGGGCTGTGGCTCCCCCACCCCTGTGAGGATGCAGCCCCGGTGGTGTTTGGTTTGAGGAGAGGCCAGGTGAGGCCTGGCCCCCAGGGGAGACAGAGGGGTGCTTGTGGCCCCTGGCCCTTTACTGGGATGCTTCTCAGTTAGAAACTGTGCAACCACTGCCCAGGTCAGGAAACAGAACACTGCCAGACCCCCTGCTCGTCATCTTAGGTCATGTTTTTCAGGAGGGTAAAAAACCGCACTGGGGCTTTGTGGGGGGATGGCCTTCACCTTCTGGTGGCTCCTGGGAGGGCCAGCCGGGGTGACAGCAGGCCAGGCGGGGCGTGTCCCAGTGGGGCTGGCAGCCTGGTCAAGGCGGTCTGAAAGGTGGGGTTGCTGCCGAGCACTTGGGACCCGAACCAGCTGTAATAGGACGCGTGCGCACACCCACCCAGACACAGATGCTTGTTTTCTCATGGTCTCAGTGCTTTTTCTGGTTTTCTTCTTCTGATTTTAGTTAGAACCATGAGCTGTGATGAATGTGGGACTCTTCTCAATTGCTCTTTAAATTGTCACTTTTTAAATCTTATTAAATGAAGTGTCGATTCCTGACAAATACATTAAAAGTGTTTTATTCCTAGAAGAGTTGGGAAAAGAAATTATTTTCAGCAAGAGTGGGATATGTTAGACTGATTCCTTGGCCAAAAAAAAAAAAAAAAGAGTTCTCAATTGTGCAAAAAATTGCTCTGTAGTTATACTGTCACCCCAATTGTCAAATCGCTGTGCTGATGGATCTGAACCATCAACTTCACCTTTTTTTTTTTTTTTAGAAGATAACAAAATTGTAATCACTTATTCTTTCTAGATAGAGACTTGGAAAAGAAAACAAAGTAAGGTATCATCTGTAATAAAAAGGAGAGCATGGTGTGTGCCAGGACCACTGGGTAATAGAGGGAGCAGACATGCCCCACCGCAGGCTTCGATCAAGAACCTCCCTTTGGACAGGGAAGAACGGTGTGAAAAGAGGAAAAGAAAATTAAACTTCTCCTTCCAGGAGTTTCTCCTCATTAGCGTTTGCATTTTGGTGTTACCTTTTAATCCTGCCTTCTGTGCAGGTGGTCGGTTCCTCTGGATGCTGCGAGGTCAGGGTGGCCGTCGCTGGTGATGGCTGCGGCGGGCATAGGCCATGCTCCATTTATTTTTGCGGCCACAGCCATCGATTCTGTGTGTTTGTCCTGACAACAGCTCCAGCAGGAGTTCAGTGCTCATTAGTGGCCCTAGGAATTTAAAATGCAGCTCATGGTTCTGTACCACCATGGGTTTTATTATTATAATATTAAATTAGAAGTCATCCCAGTGCCTGGTGTTTGCTCAGGAGTTTCTGGAAAAGGAGAAGGGAATGGTTTAGACACCATGCAGGACAACTGGGACTCTTTCTCCTCCTGGAAGGTGACCGGTCACCCCCAATTACTGAACAGGATTCTAGAAGCCCCAGTGGTAGGAGAGCATACATGGAGAAGGGTTGGGTTGGAGGATAGGACCAGCTTCCCATATGCCTCGGCCTGACCCCTGTGCAGTGTCGTGGGAAAGGACATGGTGATTCTGCTGGTTTCCATCAGACTGGCTGGCAGGGCCCTGTGCCTCCTGCCTCTGCAGACAGGGTCTGTTCAGATGACTGCGAGCTCCCCCACCACACACCCCCACATCCCTTAGGCAGGACTTCCTGCCGGAAGGATGCAGGCAGAACCTGTCTCCCTGGCAGGAGTGTGGAACAAGTATAGAACAGCTCCCCCGCCCACCCTGACAACACACGCTTTTTGAATATCACTGGTCTCTTAAATGGTTAAAAAACATTAAAGGGGCATCCGGGTGGCCCAGTGGGTTGAGCATCTGCCTCTGCACAGAGCATGGAGCCTGCTTGGGATTTTCTCTCCCTCCACCCCTCTCTCGGCTCGCGTGCTCTAATTACAAAAAATATATCAGTAAAGTAATAATGCTCACAGAATAACATTCCAACCTAACAGTAGGGACAAAGGTGCCCTCCCTCTCGTCTGGCTCAGAGTCACCCTTGACCTGAGC